ATTCAGAGAAGAACTGACACCAATCCTAATTGAACTATTCCAAGACATAGAAAAGGATGGAATCATCCCTCATGAATATCGATGCAAAAATCTTCAACAAAATCCTAGCCAGTAGACTCCAACAGCATATTAAAAAAAAATAATTTATTATGACCAAGTGGGGTTCATAGAAGGTATGCAAGAATGGTTCAACATTAGAAAAACAATCAACGTCATCACCCACATAAATAAAACAAAGGAAAATAACCACATGATCATATCAGTTGATGCAGAAAAGGCACTTGATACAATCCAACACCCACTGCTGATCGAAACTCTCAGCAAAATAGGAATAGAAGGAACATTCCTCCACATAATAGAGGGTATCTATGCAAAAGCAACAGACTGAAACCGTTCCCATTTCAATCAGGAACCAGACAAGGATGCCCTCTTTCACCACTTCTGTTCAACATTGTATTGGAAGTCCTAGCCAGGGCAGTAAGGCAAGAAAGGGAAATCAAAGGCATCCCATTGGTAAGGAAGGAGTCAAACTATCCCTGTTTGCTGATAACATGATCCTATACCTAGAAAACCCAAGAGACTCAGTTAAAAATCTACTGGAACTAGTTGAGAGATTCAGCATCACAGCAGGATACAAGATCAACATCCAAAAATCAGTTGGATTCCTCTACACCAGCAAAGAAATTGCTGAAAATGAAGTAAGGGAACCAATACCATTTATAATAGCTAACAAAAAAATCAAAATACTTGGGAATAAATCTTACCAGGGACACAAAAGATCTGTACAAAGAAAACTATAAAAGACTACTTCAAGAAACCATAAGAGATAATTGGAAGAACATACCATACTCGTGGATAGGAATATCAAACGTTATGAAAATGTCAATCCTACCCAAAGCAATCTATATATTCAATGCAATCCCAATCCAGATCCCATCAACATTCTTTAAGGATAAAGAAAAACCAGTCACTAACTTTACATGGAAAAGAAAGAGACCTTGGATAAGGAAAGCACTATTGAAGAAGAAGAAGAAAGTAGATCTCATACTCAAAGATCTCAAAACCCGCCACAGTAGTCAAAACTGCCTGGTATCGGTACAATGACAGACACATAGACCAATGGAATAGAATTGAGAACCCAGAAATAGATCCATCGACCTATGGTCAACTGATCTTTGACAAAGGGCCAAAATCCATTAAGTGGGGAAGAGATTGTCTGTTTAACAAATGGTGCTGGCAGAACTAGATATCCACTTTCAGAACAATGAAACAAGATCTGTATCTCACATGACACACAAAAACGAACTCCAGATCGATCAAAGAAGTAAATGTGAAACCTAAAACTATAAAGTTCCTCAAGGAAAAACTAGGGGCAAATTTAGGGGCCCTAATCTACTTCCATAGTGATACCACCTTGGAAACCCAAGGAGGGGTTGCTATGAGTTGGGTCTGACTCAACAGCACATAACAACAACAACAATGTATGGCATAAATAGACTATCAAGCATAACCCAAAATGAACATACAGCAGAAGAGAAACTATATGAATGGGACCTTCTAAAAACTAAATATTTGTATGCTTCCAAAGACTTATCCAAGAGTCAAAAGAGAACCTTCAGATTGGGAGAAATATTCAGCAATGACATATCTTACAAGAGAATTTATAGAAAACTCCAACACCTAGACAACAAAAAGGCAAATAATCCAATTAAAAAATGGAGAGAAGTATGAACAGACACTTCACCAAAGAGGATATTCAGCTGGCCAACAAGCATATGAAGAAATGCTCACAATCATTAGCCATTAGAGACATGCAAATCAAAACAACAATGAGATACCATCTTGCCCCAGCTCTAGTAGCAAAGTTTCAATGAGACAGAAAATAACAAATGCTGGTGAAGATGTAGAGAGATTGGGACTCTCATACACTGCTGGTGGGACCATAAAATGATACAACCACTGTGGAAAGCAATATGGCGATTCCTTAAAAAGTTGGACCACTTGACCCAGCGATTCCATTACTAGGTATATATCCTAAAGAAGTGAGAGCCAGGACAAGAAAAGATACATGCACACCCATGTTCATCGCAGCACTATTTATAATAGCCAAAAGATGGAAACAACCAAGGTGCCCATCAAGAAAAGAATGGATAACCAAACTATGGTACATACACACAATGGCATACTATGCAACCCTAAAGAATAACGTAGAATTGGCAAAACACCACATAACGTGGAGGACATCATGTTGAGTGAATTAAGTCAATCACAGAAGGACAAATATTGTATTAGTTCATTATTGTAAAAAGTCACGGAATGTTTATGGAAGGAAATTTTCTTTGTTGGTTACCAGGGGTGGGAGGGGAGGGGAGGGAACACTGTTAGATAGGTAGAGACAAATATTGATTTGTGTGAAGAGAGAGGCAGTATACCAAATGTGAGTAATAATCACAGTGGCATTGAGGAAAAGGAAGACAGAGAGAGGTGCGTGGGAGGTGCAGACAGTAAAGATGAACCCTTTTGCACATGCAGTACTGTGTTGTCAGTGAAGGCAAACGTTGATATAGTGGCAGATAGATGGGCGGATATGCTGAACTGTATGTCTATGCAGGGGAGTGTGCCCAAGACCATGTGTAAGTATTCCCAGGTAGAATTGTCAGGTAGAGCTGACAAGGGGCAAGGTTGTAGTCACTTCTTGGCCACAGCCAACTACCCAGAGGGAGTGAGTAGTTGGACCTGTGGACTCAGGACCATAGTCACAGGGGACATCAAGCTCAATTGCCATAACATAACGACACAAAACATTGTTCCACATCCTACTTTGGCAAGTAGCACCTGGGATCTTAATAGCTTGCAAGCAGCCATCAAGATGCAATGATAGGTCTCTCTTCATCCAGAGCAAGGAAGGATGAAGAAAACCAAAGTCAAATGGAAACAATTAGTCCAAGCAATGGGTACACCATTCAGCCGTCAGCCTATATGACTATGAGACCAGAAGAACTGGATGTTGCCCGGCTACCACTGTCAACCACTCAGAGGGGATCTCTGAAGGAGATCCTGAATAGAGAGGGAGAACAATGTGGGAACACAGCTCAAAATCATTTAAAAAAAAAAAAAAGGACCAGATTTGCTGGTCTGATAGAGCCTGATGGAACCACTGAGACTATGGCCCCTAGCTGCCCTTCAGGTCTGGAATTGAACCCACTCCTGTGCCTTCCAGGCAAACAAAAGACAAGCATATGAGCTGAACATTTACAATAGGTAGATACACTCCTTGGAGAGATCAATCGTGGGAGAATAGAAAGGCTGTGTATGCACAGGGAGGGGTGGAGGGGCAGGAGTGCATGGGAGGAAGGGACACAGGGAAGAGGTAACTATGGGGAGGAAGTGGGAGGGGCACTATTGTATTGTGGTAAATTGTAATCAGTGCCATGAGACAAAGTATCTGTGAGCTGCTGTTTGGAAAGTGAATTTGTTCTGAAAATTTTCACCCACATCACAATATAAATTTTTTAGAAATACAGTTTACCAATTCTAGAATGCATTTTTTTCTCCCATTTTAACCTTTGAGATTAGGTTGTATCATTGGCATGCCAGTCTTTATTTTCTTAGCCATTATACAAAATAATGGTGTCCCTTAAATCCAATAGTGCTTTAAGTCAAGTGAAATGTGGTAATTAGGTCAGCAGAGTATTTGAAGTGCTACAGGGTGAAGTGTATTAAGAGTTCTTGGGTTGTGTCTCGGTAGGAATAATAATGGCTAATTTCCACAGTGTGAAGATAACTCATATCCCCATTTTCCTACTTCATCATCCTGATGCCAGCCTGTCATGTTGTACTTTCTCTGACCTTAACCACCCAGAGTCTCCACAATTTACCACTCTGTCCTTTTAGCCCCTGCTAAGTAGGCTAAGGGAGCTCTGGTGGCATAGTGCCTAAGGCATTTCATTGCTAACCAGAAGTTTGGTGGTTCAAACCCATCAGCTACTCCTCGGGAGGAAGATTGGGCAATCTTCTGTAGTGATACTGCTTCGAAATCCCAAGCAAGGGTCGCTATGAGTCAGATCCAACTTGCAGTGAGTTTGGTTTTGGTTTTGGAAGTAGGCAAACGGTAGCCTCTCTGCTATTTTTCATTACCCCCCAAGAGTTCAATAATTCACTCGAATGACTCATAGAACTCATAAAAACTATCACCTGTCCTTATGGTTATCCATTTATTATCAACACAAAGGAAACAAGAATGAAAATACATTGGACAACATCTGGGGGAGATCCTGGAATGGGACTTCTATTTTTCCTGGGGATTTGCCACTCCCTCTCCCTTTAATTGTTGTTCATGTCAGTCTAAGAGGTCCCAAAGTGAGCACTCCAAAGTCCTGTCTCTCTTAGTCATTGGAACACCAATGAATACACATAACTTCCTTAGTTCCTCCCACACACCTTCCTAAAGTTTACTTAGCCAGGTATGGGCCTTGCTTAGCCCCTACTTGCCCAGCTGATTTGGAAAATAAAAGTGTCTTGATTGCTCAGGTTATTTTTGGAAACCAGCTTAAAAGGACCAAACCAAGTTCTTTGTCCCACAGTTTGTGATGCCTGGACAAGATAACTGATCATGTGAGGTCTTATGATCACAATTCTCCCACTGCTCTGACCCCAGAGTCTCTCACCACAGACTTCAATGTGTTGGCCCTTTTTAAATTCACTGAGATTACACAGAGCACAGCATCTAATTAAGCAGCCTGTAGCAGTTGGCTCCACAGAGACTACCTGAAGTGAATTACTATGGGCTGTTCTAGGGAAGCTATGGTGGAGGCTAGGAGTCATCTCTTCAATGCTGTTGGTCCCTTCTGTGCTGTGGGACTGTTGCCTTCTCCCATAGGGCTGCTATGAGGATTGCATGGGAAGTTACATGGAAAATGCCTGTCACATATTAGACCCAGACAATAACAGCTGATTTTACTCTCCATCTTCTTGGCAACTTTCTCCTCTGTGTCTTTCAGTCTAATAAAGTTCCTGTTGTGCAGCATCCGCATCACATGCATCCGTTGACACCCCTCATCACCTACAGCAATGACCACTTCTCCCCTGGCTCCCCTCCCACCCACCTCTCACCAGAAATTGATCCAAAGACAGGTGAGTTGTGCACCATTCGGGCTACATCAGCCATGCGGTGCTCCTTCAGGTGGGCGGGCTTTCCTTTCCAGGGAATGTAGCAGCCCTCCAGTCAGGCCAACCCATGTTCAGATTATGTCCCCACCTATCGAGTGTTATGATCTTGCCCAATAACTAGCCCCTTCAGTTTCTTCATCTGTGCCTTTTCTATACCTTCATACATCATAGGATCATCATGAAGATTAAAGGAAATTAAATGAAAATACATGCAGAGCCCTTGACACATAATGCCTGGCTCCACAGGACTAAGAATTTGGTGTTGCTCTGTGACCATTGCTTTTGCTTTGGAACACCTTAACACTTTAACAGCGGACCAAGCTGGAAGAGAAAAATATCTCTTCTAATTTTCCATGGACTTTGAAGTTAGCATAGCTACAGGTGCTGCCTCCTGAATCAAGACCTTTACCCTAAACTGAACACTTTGTCATCAGTCTAGTCAGACTTCTAAGTGTGGCTATAAAGCAGTAAGGCTGACTTACCTTTTTTTTTTTTTTCTTTTTCTTTTTTCCCCCCCACTTTGCTTACCAGACCTATCTATCCCATGGTCTTTATAGAACTCCGAATGTTGCTATGGCTCAAAGCGTTTTTAGAGCCCTTCTGGAGAAATAAAGATTACTACAAATTATGGATAGTAAGGAGGCCAGCTGTTCAATAGAAGTCCAAAGCTTATTTCTCCATGAATTAGTCAGATTTGCAAGAGGGTTACTTACCAGACAATGGATCCGTCAGTCCCGGATTTCTGGTCCTTCTCTTAGGTAAAACTCACTCCTACATAACAGGCAGCTGGAAGTCACTCCTACCTACAGAGATGGGATCCTTATAGCTGAAGAGAAGATGCATTGTCCCACCTTCACTTAATATGTCCTTGACTGACTGGCCAAAGGCTTCCGGGAAGTGCTAGGGAGCAAGCATAATGAAAGAATAGGGCCTGCCAAGCTCCAGACCATCTGAGGTTGGGGGAACATCCAATTTCATGTTATTTCCAGGTGTTAAGGTAGGGCCAGAAAACAGTCTGACGCATCTCTCTTTGGAAGCAGGAATCCCCAGGCCCCCTCACCCATCTGAGCTGTCACCATATTACCCACTATCACCCGGAGCTGTCGGACAAATCCCCCATCCCCTCGGCTGGCTCGTCCCACAGTAAGGAAAATTGCAGCCTTTCTTACCCTTATCCTTCCTTATGCTCAGCTCTGCATTCTGTGCCTCCAGCTGCCCTCAGATCGCTGTAGACAGAGGCCCAGCCCTGGCCACAGAGCACTCTCAGAGGCAAAGCCTGGGTCTTAGACCTACCTGCTCGGCCCCTGGGCAGCCTTCTCCTGCTCTTCTTTCCTACTTCCTGACCCTTATCTCTTATCCTTTCTCCCAAACCTCTCCTTCCTTGTCCTGAACTTTCTTGTTTTCACTAGAATGCTGACCGGATTTCCTTACTCGTGGCCCTTACAGGCAAGGACAGCCCATGTACTCCCTGCCTCCTGGTGGCTTCCGGCACTCTTATCCTGCCCTCGCCATGAACGCTTCTATGTCCAGGTGAGTCCAGGACTGAGGCTGGGAGCACAGAGTGGCAGAGCAGGGCACAGTTGTCTCCCAGTGACTTCACCATTTCTGACCATCAAATAGTCTTTCTTTGGTCAGTTAACAAGGGGGCGGGAGCTCACTTTCTTCCTCACCCTCGTTGATGAAGGGTCTTGTCATGCCCATGCTCTGCTCCCAGGTTGGAATGGAGACCACAAACCACTGTTTTTCCATTTCTAAGAGAAGGGTTTCAAAACCCTGGCACTCAATCCTCCTTCCACATCCCCTCCATGGGCTGGACTTTGTGTCACAGAAATATTTTTAGTACTTCACACTGAAGCCGGAGAAGTGAGAGATTCTGTTCCCCCCTGAAATGTCAGGAAAAGAGACAGTGAAAGGGAATTTCGGTTTGAGGGTAAGGCTCTGCCTGACAATGGTACCTCCAGTGACAAAGAAAATGCAACCCACAACATAAGCCCTTCATTTCCCATTGTGTAGTATCCTGCTCTGACCCTCTACACTCTTGTGTTTTTCATTCTATCGGCTTCTAGCACCAAAGCACACTGCATATTTGTGGAAGAAGGAGACTTGTTAGGTATTTCCCCAGTTTGGTTCTATAGAGAACAATGAATGGCTTCCCATTTCTCATACTCTGTCATCACAGACGTATTTACATGCCTCTACTCTAAAGGCATGGAGCTACCTATGTCCTATGCCTGGTAATAAGCATTCAGCCTGAACCCCTCAGTTGTCATTCATTTCCACTTTGTACAGCCTGGTTTCCAGTCGGTTCTCCCCTCACATGGTGGCTCCGGCCCATCCTGGTCTGCCCACCTCAGGGATCCCCCACCCTGCCATTGTCTCCCCCATCGTCAAGCAGGAACCAGCGCCCCCCAGCCTGAGTCCAGCAGTGAGTGCGTAAGTAGCAGGCAGCCTGGAATGGGGATACAAGGGTTCAGTTCTGAACCAGGGGTAGGGATGGTATGGCCAGTCTCTGAGCAGCAGATGCCATTTTTCTCATTTAGCCTTCCTCAGCTGTATCTTCTCCCTTTGACTTTCTTCTCCCTTGAAATTGTTCCCTTTGACTATCTATTCCCATCCTTCCAGAGACATTGTGCACTTTTTTCACAGTAGGGAAAGTTTTAGAAACAGATTTTAGAGGCTGAAAGAGAATCTCACTTTTAGCTTCCATCCCCCTTGTAATACCCAAGAAAAGGTGAAGCCCAGAATGAAGAAAGTGTTTTCTCCAATCCACATGGCCTGGAGGCAGAGCTAAGACCAGCACTCAGGCCTGTATTTTGTCCACTGTGCCTGAAGGCAATAGGCAAGCCCAAGTCAGTATTTCATGGCCAAGGATATCCCTCCTATTTCTTCCAAGTGCCCCTACCCCAATTCCTGTCTGTCACTCCTTACTAGTGTGTAACTGCACAAGGAAGAGTTCATCTCTACTCTCACCACCTCCCGCTGCTCCTGTGTCAGGAAATTATTGGGTACATTTTCAAAAAATATGGCTTTAAGATAATTCAGAGGTTGGAGACTAGTTGTGAAGATGCTCAGGTGTGGCAAGCAGCCACAGGGAAAATTGAGTTGGCATCCAAGCAGCTCATCTCCCTACCCAGAAACAATCAGGCTGTTACCCTCAAGGAGAGGGGATTGGTGAGTTAGATGACAGCTGAGCCATGCTAACCTACAACCATGTGACTTCCTAGGAAATCACCAGTGACAGTGAAAAAGGAGGAAGAAAAGAAGCCCCATGTGAAGAAGCCTCTGAATGCCTTCATGTTATATATGAAGGAGATGAGGGCCAAGGTGGTGGCTGAGTGCACCCTGAAGGAAAGTGCAGCCATTAACCAAATCCTGGGAAGAAAGGTAAGACCTGCCCTTGTCCTCCAGCTTGTGAAGGACGACCCAGGCTGCAGGGAGTCAGGATCTGCTGGATTCATGGTTCCATGTTGTCTCTGACCCTCTCTCCCTCAGTGGCACAACCTGTCTCGAGAAGAACAGGCCAAGTACTATGAGCTGGCACGGAAGGAACGGCAGCTTCACTCCCAGCTCTACCCTACCTGGTCGGCCCGGGACAACTATGTAAGTGCCCATTCTGGGCAGAGGACATTCAGACCCCAAGAGCAGCATCTGCAAGAGGAAAGAGGAGAGAAGGAAATTGATTCCATTGATAGAGGACTCTGAAGACCTAGGAGAGAAATTTATATTTCTCTAGAAATTAGAAAGGCATTTTAATTCTCTGGAGGCTAACAAGGAAATGGTTTTCGTATCCCAAGGGCAGACTTAAATCTGTGCCGTTCCCATCAGTCTTCTATTCCACAGTACAAGGTATAGTGTGAGCCATATGCTAGCTCTAGTGCTAAGCATCTCTAGCCAAGGGTTCCTACCCTGGGGCTCAGAGGCCAATGTATGGGCCTCTGGGAGCATTTAACTGGGCAGATTTTTGTATAGAGGTTATCAATTGCTTCTTTTTTTCTGTTAAGAGCGTTTGTCAGCTGAGCACTTAACCACTGCACCACCAGAGCTCATTAGAGGGTTCATAGCTGCATTAGATTTTCACAGAGACCTAAAAACCAAAAAAAAAAAAAAAATCAAAGCCTCTGTTATAGGGAGAAAGATGGAAAAACAAGTCTGAAGGGCAGTGAACGATAGAGGCCTTTTAGGGCCGCCTTGGCCACCCATATTGGATGGGCCAACAGATCCAGAAGGCTCACACTGCCACCTCCTGGTGAATTGGCTGCCCCAGCACCATCACCTTCAGAAAGGAAAGGATCCACAGCTATATGGGCAGTATCCTGTCTCCTTTCATCTGGCAGTCTCCCTGAGAGGACTGTCCCTGGTTAACTTTGTTTGGCCACATTTTTCAGGGTAAGAAAAAGAAGAGGAAGAGAGAAAAACAGTTGTCGCATACACAGTCGCAGCAACAAGTCCAAGAGGCAGAAGGTGAGTTTCAAGGAAAGCACTGCTTCCTTTACTTCTCTTTCCGGCTGTCGCAGCAACTGCCTGTGTTATGTCTATGTCTCTGATGGACACAGTTCTATAATAGTTGCCCTTTTAAGGACCTTTGCCCTATAGCATCCTCATGTATGTTCAGGTAGATATTATATTAGCCCCTTTTTAGAAAAATAAACAGATGTTAAAGAATTTTTCTTGGTCACTCTGGCTGTTAAGTGATATGTTAAGTGGTATAAGGATATGGTCCAAGACTTTCTCAATTCAAAGACTAAGTACTTCTCATTACAGTTGAATTACATCTCATGTGAGGGTGAGGTTCTAAAATGAATGCATACAGTAAAAATCTAGTGTAGTTGAAATTGTCCTTGGCACTCCCTTAGGAAGGCAATACATTAGACTGACATACTACCTACCAGTGAGTCGAGTCCAGCAGAATCCATTTTTTCTCTAGTGTTTCTTTGGTTGATCACCAAGAAATCATTTTGCTTGGATTTTGGCTACTTTGAGCCAAAAATATCCACTATACTGTTTTTTTTCTTTTTAAGGAGCTCTGGTAGCCCAATACCTAAGGCATCTGGCTGCTAACTAGAAGGTTGGTGGTTCAAACCCACCAGCCACTCCATGGAAGCAAGACTGGGCAATCTACTTCCATGAAGATTTATTGCCTTAGAAACCCAGTAGGGGTCGCTATGAGTCAGAATCAACTTGATGGCCATGGGTTTGGTTTATATATATATATAAATACATACCTTTTTACACAAGAATCACCCTAGCACAGAGTGCTGTTCACAGACATTGAGGAACTGGAGCCATCTAAAGGAAGACCAGATTCACGTCTCCCATCTCATGCCATTCATGACATGATACACACACAATGAATGGAAGGACGTTTCAAACTGCTTGGACCATCTAAAGTGCTTTTTACCTTTTTTTTTTTTTTACCCCCTTATTTACCTACACATTAATACACGTAAGTAAAATATGTATGTGATGCAAAGCCCACTGTATACCACGCTGTTTAACTGGTGCTATACTCACTGATTGTACCATAAGCCACAGATTTTAAAGCATCCCCCCAAAATGATGATTTAGCAAAAAAAGATGATATGACAGGCTAGCTATTTTTCCTCCAATCAGATACGAAGTCAGTCTTTGTCAATTTTGGCATTGCCCCCTCTCTATGCACTAGATGTTCTGTGAATGCAGTTTCCCGTCTTGAAAGCCTTAGAAGTAATTGCAGATTCTCAGTTCCCTCCCCATGAGCATTCCTGGATTGCTACAATACAGGTATATAGCCAGGTCCATTCTGTTTGTTTTTAAGTTATTTTATGCAAAGATTACAATTTACGTTTCTGTGATCTGTTGCTGCATAATAAGCCATTCCAAAACTGACTGGCTTAAAACAACCGTATACTAGCTTTCATGACTCTGTGGGTTGGCTGAGCCCTGCTGGGCATTTCTTCTGCTCCACCTGCTGTTGGCAAGGGCAGCAGTCATCTGGAGGCGCAACTGCCCTAGAACATTCAAGAAGGCTCACTCTCATGGTTAATACTCAGTAACCTTAGGCAGGGCTGTTCTTCACTGCCTGCTTCTCCAATCTTCGAGCTGCTCACTCTTCCTTGTATTATTTCTCCTAGGTACTCTGGCTTCTAAGAGCAAGAAGCCATGTGTTCAGTACCTGCCTCCTGAGAAGCCCTGTGACAGCCCTGCCTCCTCCCATGGTAGCATGCTGGATTCCCCTGCTACCCCCTCTGCTGCCTTGGCCTCACCAGCTGCCCCTGCTGCAACCCACTCAGAGCAAGCTCAGCCTCTCTCCCTTACCACCAAGCCAGAAACCCGGGCCCAGCTGGCTCTCCACTCGGCTGCCTTCCTGTCAGCCAAGGCTACAGCCACCTCCTCTAGCCAGATGGGCAGCCAGCCTCCCCTTCTCTCCCGGCCTCTCCCTCTTGGGTCCGTGCCCACAGCTCTGTTGACTTCTCCCCCTTCCTTCCCAGCCACGCTCCATGCCCACCAGGCCCTCCCAGTGCTACAGGCCCAGCCTCTTTCCTTGGTCACCAAGTCTGCCCACTAGGCTGCCTCCTAACCTATTCAGGTTGTCAAGTGACTCATCGAGTAATAACAATTCAGAAGAAAAAAAGGAAACTTTATTGGTCAATATTTGACCACCCTGGACTGTTCTGTAAAGTGACTGGTAACAACAGCACTTTACATTTTCTAGATGTAACCAGTAGCTAATCTTAAGGCTTTTTTAAAAAACAAAACAAAACAAACAAAAAAAAAAAATTCTTTGAGAGAAGAACTGAAAAGTAGTGTGTTATGCTTCCTATATGTGCTGTGGAGGAGCCCTGGTGGTGCAGTGGTTAAAGCATTCAGCTGCTAACTGAAAGGTCAGTGTTTCAAATCCACCAGCTGCTCCATGGGAGAAAGATGTGGCAGTCTGCTCCTGTAGAGATTTGCAGCCTTGGAAACCCTACGGGATAGTTCAGCTCTATCCCATAAGGTCATTATGAGTCAGAATCAACTCAAAGGCAGACGGCAGCATATGCTGTGGTGGATGGGCCTGGGCAGAAGACACCTTTCTCTCTACCTCCTTCATTTTCTGCCCTCCCTCTTCTTGTCATCCCCTACCTGGCCTAATCCCCCCACTCATCCTGCATGTGTGCCATGGGCATGATGTCTAGCTCAGTACCTCTTCACTCATCTAGATCCCACTCCTGGACCATTTCCTATTAGCCCAAGTTTTTCTCCTCAGCACCATGAGTTCTGCCCCTCCGTCTCTTTTGTCCTCTGTTCAGTGTAAAGCCCTCACCACGTGAGAAGACATCTTTGCCTGATTTTCTTCCACCAGCATCCTATTTCCCTCAGTAGGACCTAACCCTTCCAACCTCCAACTTTTGTGGGGAAAAGGTCTCCTAAACCAGTTCTCCCCAACATTTAAAGGGACTCAAGGTGCCTGCCACTTCCTCAGTGAACAAGTCTGTGTTTTACCCCTTTACCAATCAAGATATACACACAGTCCCAGAGTGGCAGACAGGACCTGGCTCTAAGGTCTGGTTTCTGTCACCTGGGCCAGTGCTAGCACAATCTGCCAAAGTACTGAAAACCCTCTTCCCCTCCCTCATCTCCTCACATGCTTCTTCTGTGTGTATTTTTTGTTGTTGTTTTTATGATTTTTTTTTTTTTTTTTTTTGGAGCAATTTAAACTCCCAGTTGTTTATTTTCACAAAGGAAAATAAAATTGCAGTTGCAAGACCTTTTCTGAGTATTTCTTTAGTCCCTTTGTTGAATCCAGCCACCTGCTTGATTCCACACCCTGTGCCAGATTTTACAGCCTTAGCACTTATTGAAGGGAAATATAAATCATGCCGGACAGAATTAGAAAAATCCAATTCTACTTCTAGTCTCGAAAATATGTGGACCAAATTCTGACAAGTGAAATCTGAAGGAGAGTCCTTATTTTACAGTTGATTTAAACTACTTTGTAACCTGAAAGACATTCAGCTTATGTTTCTCACACGTGCTTGTCTGCTTATAACTGCAAAGATCTGAGGGGCATTGTGGGGTTTACATTAACTTTATACCCAAAGAATGTGCCCTTTGTCCTCAGTACCTGAAAGACAATCACTGAAAACAAACTTTGGAATTTAAGTGTCTTCAGTAAGACTCCAGACCACATCTAAGTAACGGGTTATGCTGGTGAGGTGATATGTTGACTCTGGAGTGGGGGCTAGCCAAGCCAGAAAGGCCCACAGTGCAATACCTCTTGATCACCTTGTGATATGGAACGACCTCAGGGGTGAAAGGCTGGAATTGATATTATGTAATGAGGCCCCCAGTAAAAGCTCTGGACATGGAAGTTCCATGGTTGGAGAAAGACATCGATGTGCGTGGGAGGGTAGTGTGCCCTTTGGGACATGGAAGCTTCGTATTGGGAACCCTTCCAGACCTCACCCTATGTATCTCTTCATTTGTATCCTTTTTTGCTATAATAAATCTGGAATCATAAATATAGCACATTCCCTGAGTTCTTTGATTCATTCTAGTGAATTATTGAACCTCAAGTGTAGTGGAAGCCAGGTCAAAACTGAGGGTGGCTAGAGACACTTAAGCTTATATCTGGTATCCTAATGGGGTAGAAGTAACCCCCAAATTTGTGTAAGATCATAGGAAAGGGAGTTCAGAAGCCCACTTAGGCTCACAGCTAGCGTCCTAAAGGATGGTGGGAAAACATTTGAGTTTCTAGCCAGCAGGTCAGAAGTGAGGGTATTTCGTGAACTCTCAAACCTGCGGCTAGCATCTGGAGTCTCAGGCTTATTTGGCAGTCTGAAGGACTATGTCCTTTTATTTTGTGAGATCTGACATATCTCCAGGTGGCTAGGGTCAGAGAAGTGCTTCTTAGGCAACTGGTATCAGAATTGAGCAGAGATGTAAAAAATGGATATTTTAATATTTGATTGATTTGAGAGTATCCACATAGGCATGCTATCCTTGTTCTAATGCTATCTAGAACTACAGTGACATTTTTTTGTTAACAGCCTAGGGATAATATTCACACAACATAAAATCCACCCATTTAAAGTATACAGTTCAGTGGTTTTTAGTATATTCAGTCTTGTATCCATCAGCATAATCAATTTTAGAACACTTTCATTGTTCCAGAAAGGAACCTTGTACCCTTTCAACCTCACCCCACCACCACCTATACTCAATCCTAGGCAACTACTACTTGCCACCTCTATGGTTCTGTATATTCTGGGAATTTCATGTAAATAAAATCAAACCAGACTCACTGCCATCAAGTCAATTTGGACTCATAGCAATCCCCCCATTGGGTTTCCAAGGTGGTAAATCTTTACTGAAGTAGATTGCCCCATCTTCCTTCCAGTGGAGCAGCTGGTGGTTTGAATGCATGCCCTAGGCACTGTGCCACCAGAACTCCTTTTTTTTTTTTTTTTTTCATTTAAATAAGATTAAACAATATCTGTTCTTTTGTGACTGGCTTCTTTTGACTCAGCATAATGTTTTCCAGCTTCATCTATGTTGTAGCATCTATCAGTGCTTCATTCCTTTTTATTGCCCAGTAATACTCCATTGTATGGCTATACTACGTGCTAATCAGTTGATGGACATTTGCATTGTTTTCACCTTTTGGAGCTCGTGAATAATACTGCTATTAACATTCGTGGACAAGTTTTCATCTCTTTGGGGTAACCTATGAGTGGAATTGCTAGGTCATATGGTAACTTTAACCTTTTGAGGAATTGCCAGACTATTTAACAAATTAGCTGCACCAATTTACATTCCCACCTGCAGAGTACACATGTTCCAATTTCTCCATCTCCTCGCCAACACTTATTACTGTCTTTTTGATTATAGCTATTCTAGTGTGTAAGGAGCTCTGGTGGTGTAGTTGTTAAGGCATTTGTCTGCTAACCAAAAGATCAGTGGTTTCAACCCACCAGCCACTCTACAGAGTAAAGGCAGAACAAGATTTGCTTTTGTAAAGATTTATAGCCTTGGAAAACCCAATGGAGGTCGCCATGAGTCAGAATCAACTCGATGGCAGTGAGGTTTTTTTACTTTTTTTGGTTTATTCTAGTGGGTGTGAAGTGGTATTTGACTGTGGTTTTGAGTTGCCATTTCCCTGATCACTAACAATACTGAGCATCTTTTCATGTGTTCATTGTCCTTTTATATATTCTCTTTGGAAGAAATGTCTACTCAGATCCTTTGTCCATTTTTATTTTTAATTGGGTTGCCTTTTTATTGAGTGGCAAATTAGATATAGATATATAAAATTATATAATTTTATAGATATATAAAATTCTGGGTATATCTCATATTAAAAAAAAAAAATTTCCCATGCTGTGGACTGTCTTTTCACTTTCTTGATGGTGTCCTCTGAAGCATAACTGCCCCAAGCTAGATCCTCAGTACAATGTTGACTAGAAGTGATGAGTGGACTTCCTTGTCATATTCCTGATCTTAACAAAAACAAACGCACTGCCACTGAGTCGGTCCCAACTCATAGCGACCCTTCCTTGAGTTTCTGAGGCGGTATCACTACAGAAGTAGATTGCCCAACCTTCCTTCCAAGGAGTGGCTGGTGGGTTTGAACGGACAACTTCTGGTTAGCAGTCAAATGCCTTAAGAGAAATATCCAGTCTGTTGTCATTAAGTTTGTTGTTAGCTGTAGGGTTTTCATACATGCCCTCCAGTAGGTTGAAGTTCTCTTCTCAGGAACTATGAAGTTCCTAGTTTGTTGAGTTTTTTTTTACATAAAGAAGTGCAAGAAAATTTTAAGATTTATTAAAGTTATGTCCTGTCATGCCCTTAAACCAAAATTGGTGTGTTAGGAATTAATGCTAAAGTAAATATTCCTTCTCTACTCATGTCAAGTGGGAGCACTGCCTGGAGAACAACTATGCAAGTCAAATGGGTTTCACAATAGATTCCTGGTGCTTAACATCAACAGCTCTGGTAGCATAGTGCCTAAGGCACTTGACTGCTCACCAGAAGGCTGGCGGTTCAAGCCCACCAGCACTCCTCGGAAGGAAGGTTGGGCAATCCTACTTCCGTAGTGATACTGCCTCGGAAACCCAAGGAGGGTTGCTATGAGTCCGGGCCGACTCAACAGCAAACAACAACAACATCAACAGGCCCTCAGGACTAGTCATCAAGTCTACATTTGTCCTTCTAAATCCATTCGATAATCTTGGAACTCCACCATTCTCAATCCCTGCCTCCTTATTCATGAAAGATTGCTTTGCCTCTTAAAATAACAGGAAAATTGAGTCTAGCAAAACTGCTCTATTTTGATATTCCTTATTCCTGGTGGCATAGTACCTAAGGCATTTGACTGCTAACCAGAAGGTTGGCAGTTCAAACCCACCAGCCACTCCGCAGAAGGAAGACTAGGCAATCTACTTCCAGAATCGACTCGATGGCAGTGAGTTTGGTTTGGTTTTGTATTCCTATCTAAATATCTACCCAAACCCTACCCATTCTGCCTTTCCACAGATAACAAGGTCTACCCTTGTTCAAGGTCAACTCCTCCACTGCCTCTTCTATCTGAGCCCTTCATCTCTTGGTACCTCATCCCACCAGTCACCTTTCTCTTATAACCTAGATCACTCTCCTTCTACGTAGAAAACACGTAGATGATAGTGCCCCAGAAGACAAGTGGCATGACAAGTTGTAGCACAATGCTACAAAGAGGCCTGCAAGATAAGAATTGTACATAGGATTTTGTAACTTACTTCATTTTCAGATAACAGTCTTAGCATATGCTAATATATGCCTATTAAAAACACAATAATAGTTAATGATAGCTCTGGATTACAAAGAGCTCTGGTAGGAGCTCTGGTAGCATAGTGGCTAAAGCACTTGACTGCTAACCAGAAGGCTGGCGGTTCAAACCCACCAGCCACTCCTCGGAAGGAAGGTTGGGCAATCCTACTTCCGTAGTGATACTGCCTCGGAAACCCAAGGAGGGGTCGCTATGAGTCGGGGCCGACTTGACGGCAAACAACAACAACAACTGGTGGTGTAGTGCCTAAGGCATCTGACTGCTAACCAGAAGGCTGGTGGTTCAAACCCACAAGCCACTACACAGGAGGAAGACTAGGCAATCTACTTCCAGAGAAATACTGCCTTGGAACCCAAGGAGGGGTCGCAACAAGTCAGATTTGACTCAGTGGCAGTGAATTTGGTTTTTGGTCTACCTTTACTTTCTAATTTTCCTATAATTAACATATTAATAATAACTGACAACTTTGGTGCCTTAATAGTGTGTTGTTGTTGTTATTATGTGCCATCGAGTCAGCCCCGACTCATAGCGACCCCTCCTTGGGGTGTTAGACATTGTTAAATACTATACATCAATTATCTAATTCTCACAATATTTATATCCCCATTTCATAATGACACTGATATTTAAAGCAATTAAGTAAATTGCCCAAAATCATGTGTATTATCTGGGTAATAAGTATTTAAAGAATAACATTCAGGACTATTTTTCTCCTATCAAATTGGCAGATTGGGAATACTCACGCTATCAAGGGTTGGGTGAGCAACAGAGTGACCTTGGACAAGTCATTTAATTTTTTCTGAGTGTCTCATGTTAAAATTCACTAAACCAGTACCTGACACTAAGTAAATAGTAGTTGCTAGCTGAAAGGTCAGCAGTTCAAACCCACCAACCGCTTCTGTGGAAGCAAAGATCTGACAATCTGCTCTCATTAAGATTATAGCCAGGAATGCCTATGGGGCAGTTATACTCTGTCATATAAGTCAGAATAATCAACACTCAGGGAGCTCTGGTAGCATAGTGGCTAAGGCACTTGACTGCTAACCAGAAGGCTGGCGGTTCAAACCCACCAGCCACTCCTCGGAAGGAAGGTTGGGCAATCCTACTTCCGTAGTGATACTGCCTCTGAAACCCATGGAGAGGTCGCCATGAGTCAGGTCTGACTCTAGGGCACATAAGGACACCACCTAATCAAAGATAGGAAAATTCTGGAAAATAATAGACACTAAAACATTAATGGTGATTATCTCCTAAGGGTGAGAGTAAAGTTTCCTATTTCTATACTTTAAACTTTCCACAGTGAATATAGATAATCTATGGTAACATAGTGGCTAAGACACTTGCCTGCTAACCAGACGGCTGGCGGTTCAAACACACCAGCCACTCCTGGGAAGGAAGGTTGGGCAATCCTACTTCCATAGTGATACTGCCTCGGAAACCCAAGGAGGGGTCGCTATGAGTCGGGGCCGACTTGACGGCACATAACAACAACAACAACAACATAATCTGAAAAAACCCGTACTTTAAAAAAATATCTTTGGCCACCCCAAGGGAATTGTTTCCACCGAGTCGCAAGGGCGGTGGGCTTGGACTGGAAGGTTGCCCCGACGAAGCTGATGGGAGGTTTGTTTATAGATGAGAGATCTGAGCACAGCAGGTCTGCGTGCTGCACGTAAAGAACCACATAAAAGGAAGAGATTGCAAACGCGAAGAGGATGGGAAGAAAAGGCTCCTAGGCCCCAGCGACCTCATTCAGGAGGACTGTTCACAAGTGAGGGAGCGCCTGCTTGGCCTCAGAAGTACGAGGAAGAGAAAGAAAAAGAAAATGACGATCTGTTGTGGCTTCTATGGAGGAATAACGAAATAAAAACAAGCAGGAGCGGACACGCCTTCCACGGGGAAACCCTAAAGTGATAATACTGAGTAAAAGCAACAAAGCTTGAGAAAACAACCGGAAAGAGTTCGCATCCGGGAGGTGGTATTGTAAACCCCGCCCATCATCTGGGATGGAACTGCGACAAGCGGCGATACGCGCGTAGGAAAGGGTGGGGCCATCAGCACAAACCCGTTACCTCGCGCGCAAATATCGCGAGAGCGGTAGAGGGCGGAAGCGGAGTCCAAGCAGGATGCGGTTCCTGGTTGTGTTGGTCCTGCTGAGCGTCGCGGTGGCGGGTAAGACCCTCTACCCCCATCCCAATCTGGTCTCCAGTACCTTCACCCTCACTTCGGCCTGTCATTATCTGGGCTTGCTTTTTCCTTGTCTGACCTACCCGTCGCTGCGGCATGAATTCCCTCCCTTCCGTCCTGCCGTTGCCTGGGTCTTTTCCAGTACTGACTGATTGCTCTTATTTCAGGAGTCGTTCAGCCCGCTACAAAGCCCACCGGTGCGTCAGCCACCGAAAATCTGACCACCAGTCCCAAGAAAGAAAAGACTTCTTCTGCAGTAAAAACCCCCGACAGTACCACCCTGGACCAGGTGTCTAAGAAGGAAGACAAGAAGTCCTCTGTGCATCCGCCATCTACGAAAGACACCCATGGCACTTTGAGTACGAAACCTACGACCCCGAAATACAGCCCTGACAGTTCGGGTCCGGAACACGCGACAGGGAAAAATGCGATCCTGAAATACACTTCTGGTACTTCTAGTCTGGAACACACGACCCCGAAAGATCAGTCTGATAAAGAGCAGTTCCCCAAGTCTAAAGTGAAAGAAGAATCAGACAGAATAGAATCTGATAAGAAGGTGCCAACAGACCCCGCCCTCGCTTCTCCTAGTCAGGAGGGAGAAGGTCAGTCCTCAGAACATGCTGAAGAGGTGGAGATTAAGGAGGCTGAGGGAGATGGTGCAGAGCCTAAAGAGGAGTCCCCACCTCAAGAAGGGATGTCAGGCCATGCCTCTAGTGAGAACCATGAAGGTCCACCTTTAGGTTCTATGAGTAGTGAGAAGAATGACCTTTTTAAGAACAATCCTGGAAGTGCCAGTGCAGAGAGCAGCCACTTCTTTGCATACCTGGTGACTGCAGCCATTCTTGTTGCTGCCCTCTATATTGCCTATCACAACAAACGAAAGGTAAGTCCAGAGTTGCTTTAGGGAGGGGAATGCAATTTCCTTAACTCTGAAATCTTGTTATATGGGCCAGTCTCCATCACTCACTTGGCCTGTGAACACTGGGGATTTTATGACACACTTGTTTCTTCTCAGACCCTGCTGGAGTTCTTTACTCTTCTTTCTATCATGTCACCTGTTCCATCTCAGTGTCCTCTGTTACTGCATTAAGTGCCAAGTTAAGATATTATTACAATCTGTCCTGAAGTAGCTTCTTTTCCCATAACATTGAACTTAGTTAGATCCTTCATAGCTTCAGAGAATCTGGGTATATGACAGTTTATTAGTACTTAAAGCCCTTGTCTTCCCATTTGCAGTCTTAAGATGAGTACATCGTTTCTAGTTCACTTTCCCAAGCTTCTGTCTTCTGTTCACAGTGGTAGAAATGATTTGGTTAGTCTTCTACATCAACAAGGAGCCCTGGGACTATCTTCTGCAATATGGAGTCTCTCGTAATTAGATGGAAAACCAGCAGTTGCACAAATATACACATCTTTTACTTCTTTAGCATAGTTTGGGAGCTCTGGTAGCATAGTGGCTAAAGCACTTGACTGCTAACCAGAAGGCTGGTGGTTCAAACCCACCAGCCACTCCTCGGAAGGAAGAGTGGACAATCCTACTTCCGTAGTGATACTGCCTCGGAAACCCAAGGAGGGGTCGCTATGAGTCGGAGCATAGTTTGGTGTGAAATTACATCTCTGTCCCTTAACACCAACTTTAACAACTAACAGATTTCATTTCCTATTGAGCCCTAACAATTTAGAGGATAGCCTGGTTAAAGTTGAACATTCGATTTCATGATGGCAATCAGCCTATAGCTGTAAAGGGCGAGAGAGGGCTTTTAATTTAAAAAATCACATCCAGGTGAGCTAGCTGTTGAGCAGGAGAGACACCTTAGGAGTGGAGTGAGGCTGAGTGCTCTAGAGAACCAAAACCAGTGAAGTGTATATGATGTATATATCAGAGATTTAGCTCATGGAAATTCTCACACGGTTATGGAAGCTGGCAAGTCTCAAATCCATGGATCAGGCTGCAGGCTTCTAAGTTATGTGGTTGCAGGGGCTGACTAGCCCAGTTACAGGTCAGACAACTGGCTGTTTGCTCATGGGACTACAGATGTTGGCATACCCCAAAATTATTGAGTCAGATGGCAGGGCATTGGCTTACAGGGCTGCAGAAAGTGATGAATCTCAGAATTGGCAGGTCAGACAGGCACCTAGCTCAAGTCACAAGAACTGGAAGGTCTGGTGATGACAACCTGGATGTAGAAACTAGAACAAAGGAGAACCTTGCCAGAGTATCCATATATATGTTGGAGGCAGGCCATACACATCCCAAGGAAACTTTTCCTACATCAAAGTAAGGGTGGGACTTGAGTCATACCCTTTTATAACTGCTTTTATCAGGATCACAGTAGAAGGTCCTGAACAGTGTGGGAGAAAAGTGTAGAACAAAATTCTAAGACCAGACTCACTGGTTTGCTAGAGATTAGTCAAACCCCTGAGCCTATGGCCCTTGCACACTCTTCAGACCTGGAACTAAACCCATCCCGGGATATTACCTTTCAGCCAAACAGTAGACAGACCTGTAAAGTGAACAGTGATACCCATGAGGAATGGAATCCTCATAATCAACCATACAGGATGAAAAGAGCAGCATTTCCCAAAAACAAAGTTCAGAAGGCAGAAAGGGACAAGAAAGAAGAACAGATGGAAATGGGGAAACCAGAGAATTGAGAAGGGTGCTGTTACACATTGAGGAAATTGCAAGTAATGTCACAAAACAGAAAATGTATAAATTGTTTAATGGAAAACTAATTTTCTCTGTAAATGTTTGCCTAAATCCAATTAAAAAAAAAACACACCCCACACTAATTCTGCCTCATTAACATATAGAGCTTAGCATTTATAACACAAAATAGGGGGTAATTCTGTCAGATCACAAAATGGAGGATATCAATACGATACTGGGAATCAGGGCCTAGCCAAGTTGACACAGTATTAACCATCAAAGTCCACCCTTTGTAAGCTTCATACATGTACACATCGTAAAGCATATGTGATCTCTAAAGACAATTACAAAGTCATACTTATGTAAAGTGTGATATAACTAGCATGCATACAACTAAACATGCACTAGCCCTGTTTACCTTTTACATTTTATAAGGAAATAAGTATTATGTATAGATATATAGGTATACATACATGTACACACATACATATGTACCTTTTACTAGGTGTCCCCAAGTCAATTTCTAGTCATAGCTACCCTATGCACAACAGAACAAGACACTGCCTAGTCCTGCACCGTCCTCACAATCTTTACCCCATTGTTGCAGCCACTATGTCGCATCTTCTTAGGGCCCTCCCATTTCTCACTGACCACCACATATCTATCAGCTTGTCATACTGTAGTAGTTTGCATCTTGCTGTGATGTTGGAAGCTATGCCACCAGTATTTTACATACCAGGAGGATCACCCATGGACAGGTTTCAGCAGTGCTTCCAGACTAACAGTAAAAAGAAGGACATGACCAGGTCCATTTCTGAAAAACATTAGTCACTGGAAACTTTATGAATAGCAAGGAAACATACATACATATACATGTATATGTATATATGTGGGGGTGTAGCTGTGTGTATACATACATATATACATATCTATATATCTATATCTATATCTATATCTATATCTATATATATATATACACACACATACATGTGGGAGCTCTGGTAGCATAGTGCCTAAGGCACTCGACTGCTAACCAGAAGGCTGGTTAAACCCACCAGCCACTCCTCGGAAGGAAGATGGGGCAATCTACTTCCGTAGTGATACTGCCTCAGAAACCCAAGGAGGGGTCGCTATGAGTCGGGTCCAACTCGACGGCACGTAACAACAACAACAACATATATACATGTGTGTATGTATATATGTGTGTGTGTGTGTGTGTGTGTGTGTGTGTGTTTATATGTAGATAGACATGTGTATATCTGTATGTACACTGATAACAAAAATACTTAACACAGTCCTCATTTATGCAGCTGGTCATGTGTTTGAAACTGATATTTACACTAATTCTGTCTCATTAACATATACCAAAACCAAACTCACTGCCATTGAGTCAATTCCAACTCACAGTGACTGCTGTTGAGTTTCCAAGGCTGTAAATCTTTACAGAAGTGGAGTTCCCCATCTTCCTTTTGCAGAACAGCTGGTAGGTTTAAACTGCTGACCTTCCGGTTAGCAGCCAAATGCCTTATCCACTACTCCACCAGAGCTCAGGATTTATGACACATAAAATGGAGAGTAATTACATCAGATCACAAAATGGAGGACAGCCACATAATAACTGGTAATCACAGCCTAATAACATTAAGCATCACAGTTCCACCCCTTGTCACCTTTGCACCTGTGCACATGTTAAAGCATATGTAATGTCTAAAGACATTTATAAAGTCATACTTGCATCTAAAAGCTACAGCTAGCATGCATTCAGCCAGAAGTGTGCTAGCCCAGTTTACATCTTCAATTTTATAAGAAAAATTAGTGATAGACATACGTGTGTGTGTGTATTTGTGTGTGTGGGTGGGTGTATATACACACACACGCATAACTGGAAGAATACATATAATTGCCCCTTCCTACAAAGGTGATCCAACAGAATGTGGAAATTATTGAACAATATCATTAATATCACATGCAAACAAACTTTTTCTAAAGATAATTCAAAATCAGTTGCAGTAGTACAGACGGAACTGCAAGAAATTGAAGCCAGATTCAGAAGAGGACACAGAATGGGGGAAATCATTGCTGATTTCAGATGGATCTTGACTTAAAGCAGAGAATACTAGAAAGATGTTTACCTGTGTTTTACTGACTCTGCAAAGCCATTGCTGGATCACATTATGAATAACATTGGGAAGAATAAGAATTCCAGAACATTTACTTGTGCTTGTGAGAAATCTATACATAAATCAAGAGGCAGTTGTTTGAACAGAACAAGGGGATGCTACATGGTTTAATATCAGGAAAGGTATGCATCAGGGTTGTATCCTTTCAGCTTAATTGTTCAATTTGTATATTGAGCATATAATCTGAGAAGCTGGACTATGTGAAGAAGAATGGGCATCAGGAATGGAGGAAGACTCATTTACAACCTTCAATATGCAGATGACACAGACTTGCTTACTGTAAGTGAAGAAGACTTAAAGCACTTACTGATGAAGATCAAAGATTACAAACTTCAATGTGGATTACCCCTTGTGTTAGACTGGGTTCTCTAGAGAAATAAAAACAGTAAAGCTTATATAGAGAGAGGAAGAGAAATTTATCTTAGGAAAATGGCTCACACCCTTAGAGAAGCTGGCAAGTCCCAAGTTCTTGGATCAAACATCAGGCTGGATGTTTTTCCTGACTCACGCAACTGCAGGGGCTGAGGAGCTCAAGGTTGGCAGGCAGTATACTGGCTGATGATTCCAACAAATGACGAATCCAAGATCGCCAGGCCAGATGGTGGATTGTTCACTCACAGGCAGTTGTAGACAGCACAGCAGAATCTTGATCCACAGAAGAGTGTCTCTCTTCCCAGGATGTCCATAAATATACTGGAAGCAGGCCACACCCCTAGGGAAGCTCTCTTTCAACAGATTGGCTGCTCAAAACATACATCTGATCCCTTCACGGGAATAACCACATTACAACTGCTTAAACCACACAGAATTGTGGTCCAGCCAAGTTGACACATAGCTGCAACCATCATACCCCTTAACATAAAGAAAAACCCTCACAATTGGACCAATAATATGAAGTTAAGTGGAGAAAAGATTGAAATTGTCAGTGATTTCATTTTATTTGGATCCACAATCAGCGCCCATAGAAGTAGCAGTTAAGAAATCAAGCAGTGTATTGCATTGGGCAAATCAGATGCAAAAGACCTCATTGAAGTGTTAAAGAGCAGAGATGTA